ACTAAGTGTATCCCTAGAAACGTTAAGTTGGTGGTGGGACCTACAGTTTTTTTGGCTGCTTCTGGGACTCCTAGTGCGGAAAATAGTGCTAGTGTCTTCGCCATGCTCTGTGGTGTGGTATTGGAGAGTTCTACTGTGAGGAAATTGTCCAGATAGTGTATTACGACTGGGCAACTAGTGACTTTCAACAAGAGCCAACACAGTGTTTCAGTGAATAGGTCGAAGAGTTTGGGGCTACTTTTGGCTCCAAATGTTAGACGGTTAGAGAAATAATAGCATTCCCTCCATTTTACTCTGTGCAGATGCCACAGTGACGGATGTAGGGGAAGCAGCTTGAATGCGTTGGAAATGTTGGTTTTGCTGATCCAAGCTGCTACCCCAGCCTTTAAGATTGCCCGTATGGCATTGTCTACTGTGGCATACTGCAGTGAATATTCCTCGGATGGTATGAGAGAGTTGAGGCTAGGTATGGCAACAGAATGTGGAGCAGACAAATTGATTATTAATCTTTTTTTATTGTTGTATTTTCCCATAGCTATGCCCAAGGGATTGGGGCTCCAGGACGTAAATGGTGGGTTTAGGAATGGCCTGAGCATGAATCCTTTCTCCGCTTCCAACTTCAGTAAGTTGTCTACTAATGCTGGTTCTGAAGTGGCCGACTGTGCACGTGGGGAGTGTGATCAAACCTATGTGAAAACCTTCTGTGAACCCTGTGACTAGAAATTGTACTAACTCCTGTGAGGGGTGTGCATTTAGGTAGAAAGCCACTGCTCGGTGTCAACTTAGATTTCGGTTAGTCATTTCCTCGGGAGGAGGCGATTTGGGCACATGGTCTTGGCGTGAGCTCGGTAGCAGACGTGCAACAATCTGCACGCGCTGAAACTGCAGCCTCCTGCATTAAAATTGTTGCACACCTGTGCTTTCCCCAAGAACACTATCGGTCTACCAAGTTTATCTCTTAAACCTTTCTGTTCTGACCTGCTGGTACTAGGGGATGCGTAGCTGGTGGTGGGACAACTGGGCTCGCTGGAGCACAAGTTGGTAGTGCGTGCGTTTGATGGGCAGATGGTGCACGCTGGTGGTACTAGCCCGGCAAAGTTGCGACAGAATAACTCGGTGTCCATATGACTCAATCTATTCTTATGTTAAACTGTGGAAACGTTGCCGCTGCCTTGGCTGAGAAAGATTTGTGGTAGTCGTAAAAGTTAGACCCACTGTACTTATTTCCCAGATCTACCAACTTGTGCATATACAAGTCCAGTGGGAAGTTAAAGCATATGACGTCCCTATACAACCCAAATGCGAGTACAAAATCTGGTATAGACAGTCTTTTGCCTTGAACACTACAGACAGATCCCCGTAGTTGTAGGTCTTGTTTTCTAATATGTCCTGTGATGCTATTTGTACATAAGGTTCACATCTTTCCCCTCTAGTATATCTTTCTTGATGTTGGGTGGTACCATGTGTGCTGATGTGATAATGTGTGTATCCGCACCCTGTGCATTTTGTGTACCTGTGGCATTCCCCTCTGAGACGGTTTGGTTGACAACTAGTGTAGGAGAGGTATTAGGGGGACACACTGTGGCTGGTGCTGAAGTTTACAATTTCTCCACTCTCTGGTTGTCACATCCTGTTCCTAGCTGCGGATCATTCTGGCCAGGGGCGTACCTAGAGCATTTGCACCCGGGGCGGCTCCTGTGCTTGGCACTCACTTGCCCTGCCCCCAGCGCCAGTTTGACTCCGCCTCCGATTTTGCTTAGCTCCACCCCACTTTTCCTCCGTGCGGCCAGTTTATCAGCTGTTTGCATGTGTGAGCTGTACTGGCCGCACGGCACCCTAACTACCATGGGGCAATGTGCGGCCACAGCTCACACAGCCCCCTCCAGCCAGGGCCGGTGCAAGGATTTTTGCCGCCCTAGGCAAAAAGTAAAGTTTGCCGCCCCCCATGTGATATCAAAATGCCCCACCCATATGATTTGCCATGTTATCTAACGCCAGTGCTGCAGTGCCGCCGTGTTTACATTAAAAGGCCTGCAGGGACAGGCTATAGACACCAGAACCACTACATTAAGCTGCAGTGGTTCTGGGGACTATAGTGTTTCTTTAATGTGAAGTAAATTAGAGATTAGTGCCATGAATAATATACTAGATTGCTTACTTACAACCAAATGAGGATGATGATGGGCTCTAGCTGCAGTCTGGCTCCACTGGTCTGGTGTAGAACAGGCTCTCTGGAGGCGGTTTGTAACTCTGGTCACAAAAATCAATGTTCTGGGAGAACGGGAAGCAGCTCCATTTTTTGGGGGCCCTTTACACAGCTCAAGGTCTGGGTCCCAGGGTCCACCTTCATGTTCCACCAATGAGTTTGTTCACAGGGGTGGAGTGTGTAGGGGATGTCCTGATATGTGTGTAAGGAATGCATTGTGTGAATCTGTGTTTGTATGTGTAAGGGCTGCAAGGTGTGTTTCTGTGTATGTACGGGATGCATTGAGTGTGTGTAAGGGGTGCATTGAGTGTGTGTAATGAATGCCTCCCAATCTTTCTTTATCCCCCCTCCCAATTTCTTTCTTTATCCCCCTCCCAATTTTTATTTATCCCCCCTCCTAATTTCCTTATCCCCCTCCCAAATGGTCCGCGGGTACAGGGAGCTTTTGTTTCCTGTACCTGGCCGGACTAACAGGAAGTGAACACTCAGTGTGCACTTCCTGTTAGTCCGGCCGGGTACAGGAGACAGATGATCCTTGTACCCGCGGACCATGATACAGGGCTCGGCCACGCTACAGTGAGGGAGTGACCAGAGGGAGTGCTGAGCGCTTCCCTCCTGTCATCCCCTCTCCTCAGGCTGTGCCCGGGCGGGCAAAGGTGCAGCCGCCTGAGGCTCTCTACAGAGCACTCGGGCGGCTGCAGCATGAGGGGGGCCGGCGATCCTGGTGGCGCCCCCTCCCAAGGCAACCCCCCACCCTGCTGGCACCCTGGGCGGACCGCCCCCTTCGCCCCCCCCCCTTGGTACACCACTGATTCTGGCAATGGCTTCTGGTATCCAGTAGTCTTTTTACAATTCTTGTTTAGTTTCTTGCTTTTTTGGTT